CTGTGCAGTGTGACAAATCCTGCCGCAGAGGTGGGACTGAGTCAACGCACCATTTCTGCCCTGGAAGGCGAGGGGCGGAGGGTGCGAATTTGTGGGGCTGCAGTAACAAAGCACCCCAAACTGGGGACTTAAACAACAAACGTATTGTCTCATGGTTCTGGAGGCTGGAAGTGTTGGCAGGGCGTGCTCCTCCTGAAGCTTCCAGGGGAGATACTCCCAGCTTCTGGCAGCCTGATTCCAACCTCTGCCTCCATCCTTAATGTGGCCATCTTCCCTCTGTGTCTGTGTCTGTGTCCAAGTTCCCCTCATTTTATACGGACACCAGTCATATTGGATTAAGGGTCCACCCTACTCCCATATGAACTCAACTCATTATATCTGCACTGACCCCCTTGTTCCAAATAAGGTTACAATCTGAGATGGCCTGGTCTTTTGGAGGGGCACAATTCAAACCCGAAGTCTGAGGTCCCATTCCGCTGAAGGCTTGTCAATCTAGGAGTAGCACCTAGCTTTGCTAAGCCTTTTGTTTGTTTTTGCCTGTCTTGTGTTTCTAGCTTACATAAGCTTCCTCCTTCCCATCAAACTGGCAAAGCCAGAGCCCCACTAATATTTAGTGACTGACACCCCCTCGCTCTGCAGAAGAGGCACGGCCTGAATGACTTCTCATAGGGCTGTGCTCCCCATCTCGGGGCGGGTTTCTTGTGCTTGGAATGCTGGCTCCTTTCTGCTCTGAAAGCCGCTGAAGGCTGGGCCTGTGGCTGCCTAGGTGCTAGTTGTGGGGAACTGCTCCCCTCTGTTGGACAGAGGGAAACCTGCTCTCCTTCCATTTCTTAGGGATTTGCTTCCCCGAAGTCACAAGTTCATAAACCCACAGTAAGAGCGCAAAGGGGCCAGAGGTCAGCGGGTCCAGTCGCCTTTGTTGTTCAGAGAGGGAGGCTGAGGCCAGAGAGGGAAAAGGCCCTGTCGAAGGCCACAGAGAGAGTTAGGGAGATGGGATCAGACACGAGCTCCTCCCTCCCACACCAAGGTCTGGGAAGCATCCCTTAGGATCCTAGAGGCACAGGCTGGAAGAAAACCAGAGTGAGGCTCCTGGGAATCCCACACATACCTTAGCTTGGAGGACAAATGGCAGAAGGCAAAAGAGAAGGGGTGGGTACCTCACTCCAAGTAGGGGCATGAGAAAGCTGGAGAGCTACTGGCCCCGAGAAGTGTACCAGGACCACCAGTCAAGTCCCCTCACTCGGGATAATTCCCCATCAACTGAGTGAGTGATCCCAGCACAGCCCAACTCCACACTCCTAAAAAGTCATGTATCAACAGAACTTCTGTAAATCAAATGTTGTCTTCACTCTCTCCTTCTTTCTCCTGTGTCCCAGATATCTTTATCATCTTTCTCAGAGCTGGCCCATGGTAGTATGATAGCTTGGGCAAGCTTACTGCTCTAACAAATAGACCAGAATGTATCACAGCTCAAATGCAATAGAAATTTACTTTTCGCTCATGTCAACAGTCCAAACAGCTTATCAGAAGGGGTGAGGGGCAACGGGCTCTGTTCACACAGTCACTCAGGGCCCAGGGTCTGCCATCTTTAACATGTGGACATCAACATCCAGCCAACAGAAAGGGAAGGGCACAGAGGACAGCACACGGGAGTTCTTCTAGGCTGGGCTGGGAAGTAGTGTGTGGCAAATTCAATCATGTTCCATTGGCTGGAATTCAAAGGATCCAGAAGGGACCAGACAAAACTAAATCTAAACCTGACTTAAGTGTTGATCCGATGGGAGGTGTGGCACCACAAGAATGTGGCTCACAGAGCTCCTACTACAGGGAGTGTCACCGACTGAGGACCCCAACTGCTGCCCTTTGAAATCTATGATGGTGTTGGTGCTGAGGCATGTCTCCTGCAGGCTGCTCCCTGCCAGTGACTGAGTGCAGCCCACACACCATGGCAGATGGTTCCTATGAGTATCAGGGACTCTTGTGTTGTCAGCCTGGTTCCAGAACGCCCCCAATGGCTTTGCTGAACCTTTCTGAGACTACATGGCAGGCTAGGATGCTTCACCCAGCTGTTGCTCCCTCACCTTCACTTGGGGTCGGATGGGCATCATGGTCTGGTGGTTCTCCTGAACTCCCTGATTCCTACTTCCTTTCATTTTCCCTAATAAAATCCTGGCACACTTAATCCTGACTGGTGTCTGCATCTTGGAGGAGCCAGTCTAACACAGGAGTCAACTCTCTGGTATTGACTACTCCAACTCCATTGGAGTCACTTAGCGCAGGTGGTGAAGACAGACAAGACTTGTTGAAGAAAAGATGCTCTGGGTACACCCAGAACTTGCAAATGTCATATAGAGGTACCAGGGGTTAGGATACAACATGCTTTTTTAGGGGACACAATTTGACCCAGAAGTGTCTCCACACTCAGCTGGGTGACTCCTTCCCACATTTTCCCAGCAGGATTGTTCTTCAGTTCTTCACAAGGGCTTTTCCAGACCTTCTCCACCCTCCCCAACATCACAGCCAAGCAATGATTCCCTGCCGGCAACAAATGACTTTGCTTCCTCCTTCACAGAAAACCGAACACTGACAGAAGGGAAGTCCTCCTGCACAGAGCATCTGTCTCTACCTTATCCATCTTCTTCTCCTGCCCCCCCTCACCATATTCTTCCTCAGCCCTAATCCATATCATGCTTTACAAATCCCTTTGCTCTGAGGCAGGGATGCTGCTTCTCCCCACTTTTCTCTGTACCAGGAAATGACACCACAATCTACCCATTTGCTCAGGCCCCCAATATCCACAAGTCCATCTTTGTGATTTTCTTTTCCTGACTCTCCTTCTTCCTCTAACATGACTAATCCATCAGTATGCCTGATTTGCTTTACCTTCCAAGTATTTCCTGAAACCAGCCCGTCTCAGCATGTCCACCGTTACTCCTCCAATCCGGAAATCTAACTGGTAGTTAGAAAAACCTCTTAACTGCTTTCCCTGTCCCCATTCTTGTCTCATTCCAGCCCAATCTCCACACACAGCCAGAATGATAATCTTAAAACAGACATCAGACCATTTACTCCCCTGCTTAAAATGCTTCAGCAACTCCCCATTGCAGATGAAAATAATTAACTTTTTTTTTTTTTTATCATGGCCTACAAGACCTATATGATCTGGACTTTGTAGACTTCTCTGATCTTGTTTCATATCTTTCTCCTTTTCAGTCACAACATTCCAGACACATGGGTTTTCTTACTATTCTTTACACAAGCCAAGTAGGTTCCTACCTTAGGGCCTTTACACATACCATTACTTCAGATCTTCTCATGGCTGATTCCTTGTTATCTCTATATCCTAGATCAAATGTTGCCTCCTTAGAGAGGCCTGACCACCTATCTAAAGACTAGCCTCATCTCATGTCATGCTTTACCAAATTTCCCTGCTTTATTATTATTGTTTTTTTTTTTAAAGATTTTATTTATTTATTTGAGAGAGAAAGAATGAGAGACAGAGAACATGAGAGGGAGGAGGACCAGAGGGAGAAGCAGACTCCCTGCTGAGCAGGGAGCCTGATGCGGGACTCGATCCTGGGACTCCAGGATCACGACCTGAGCTGAAGGCAGTCACTTAACCAGCTGAGCCACCCAGGTGCCCCTTATTATTGTTATTGTTATTATTATTATTATTATTATTATTATTAGAGAGGGAAGGAGAAAGAGGGGCAGAGAGAGAGACAGAATCTCAAGCAGGCTCCACACCCAGCATGGAGTCTGATGTGGGGCTTGATCTCACAACCCTGAGATCATGACCTGAGCTGAAATTAAGGGTTGAACACTTAACTGACTAAGTCACCCAGGCATCCCTCCCTGCTTTATTATTTTTAGAGTACTTACCGCTACCTGAAACTGTTTATTAACCAGCTTATTTTTTTTAAGATTTTATTTATTTTATTTTAGAGAGAGAGAGGGAGTGAATGAGTGGGGGCAGGGGCAGATGGAGAGGAAGAGGCAGAGAATCTCAAGAAGACTCCAGGCCCAACACAGAGCCCGACCTCACAACCCTGAGATCATGACCTGAGCCAAAACCAACAGTTGGATGCTTAACTGACTGAGCCACCCAGGTGCCCCAACCAGCTTATTTTTATATTGTCCGCTTGGTCCCAAAGAATCTAAGCTCCTTGTGAATAGGAAGTTTGTCAGTTTTGTTCATTGCTGTTCCTCCAGTGTCTAGAACAAAGCTTGGCACACAGTAGGTGCTTGGTAAGTGTTTACTGAATAACTATGTGACAGGTGACATGGCTCTTAAGCATTACAAAAGTTTCCAGGGGGACACTATTTCACCACTGTGACATTCCCTGTCCAAATCCTAGGAGGTACCTTGAAGGCCAACATATGGTCACTTTTGTGCCAAGCTGGAGGAAAGGAATTCTTTCCCAAAGGCAAAGAGTCCCAGCACTTGGATCCAGCCCCTCCCAGGGGTGCCACAGTAACCACCTCTCACTGAGACTCTGACACTGTGACCAGTGTATTTGGGAACACTTGCTGGTCTCCATTTCTTCTGGATCCACAGACCTCTGCTCCTCGTCTCAGAGAAAATCTTACTACTCTAGCCGCTTCTGCTTCTCACTGTACAAGTCCCTAAGTGGTTATCTTCCCCTGACTCCTAATTTAACAGTTTTAGAAGATGAAATCTTCCCTTACCTATGCCCTAGGGATCAAGGAGGGAAGGGAAGAGAAGCCGTTCTCTTTCCTCCCAATGCTTCCACGCCAGTGAAATCAAAACATAAATTAATCTTACAATAAATTACCCTGCCTTAGCCACTGACATCATCACTAAGGTTTCAAGGGACCTTACCTCCTTGTTGTTGGAGAACAGGCTGAAACAAATCTTTGCTAAGGGAGGCTAGAAGTTGAGGCAAAACTTTGTTAATGGTTCAGGGGCCAGAAAGGAGAGTCAGTGCCAGAGAATTATGGAAGCCAGACCACGTGGGTCACAGGCCAGGTTCACTCACCCTATATTTAGGATCTTCTTCAGGGCACCTCTCTGCTTTAGCCTCTGCTGTAGCTGCCTGCACCTAAGGGAAAAAGACCCAGAAAATCAAGCCATGGAATTTTCTGCTTCTTAGGTAAAGGGGTAAATATTTTTGAATAAAACAGGTGCCTAGGGTAAATGTTATGAATAAGACAGGTGCCTAGCTTTTCTGTAGTAAGGGGATTCAGGGAGGATATTATTCTCACTGCAATGACAATCATTGTCAAAGCCTCAAAAAGTCCCTTGAAGGCCAGCAGTCTGGTCACTCACTTCTCAAGAAAAGGGATTATATAACCAGTTCAGGGAAGAACCCTGTATTAGTTATCGATTGTGTAACAAACTACCCCCAAACCTAGCAGCTTAAAAAGCCACAAACATTATTTCACAGTCTCTGTATGTCAAATAATTGGAAGCAGTCCAGCTAGACGGTTCTAGATCAGGGCCTTCCATAAGATTAGATGCAAGACGTTGACTGGGGCTGCAGTCATCTGAAGAAGGCTGGACTGGGGCTGGAAGGCATGGCTCCCAGGTGGTCCACTCACATGGCTTATGGCAGGAGGACTCAGCACCCCATTAGCATTTGGCACTGATCATAAAAGAGCTTGAATGGCTATATTAACATGAGACTAAGTAGATTTAAAGAAGTATATTTAGAGATGAAGATGAACAATTCATAATAACAAAAGTGTCATTCAGCAAAAAGATGTAATAATTATAAATGTGTATATGCCTAATAATGTCAAACAAAATACATGAAGCAAACATGACAGAATGAAAGGTAAAAATAGACAAATTCGCTATCAGAGATTTTAACATCCTCTCTCAGTTATTGATAGAACTAAACAAAAAGTAGTAATGACAGAGAAGATCTGAACAACACTATCAACCACCTTGTCTAACTGACTCTTATAAAACACCACGCACAACAACTGCATAATGCATATTCTTTTTAAGTACACACGGAGCATTCACCAAGGTACTGCCATATGCTGGGTCACAAAATTTACTGAAGTCAATAAATTTCAAATGCTTTTCTCTGACTATATGGGAATTAAGCTAGAAGGCAACAATAAAAATAACAGTATATGTTTAAAGGTTTCAAATATTTGGAAATTAACATTCTTCTTTTCTAAAAGATTTTCTTTATTTGAGAGAGAGAGTGAGTGTGAGAGAGAGAGAGCACAAACAGGGGGAGGGGGAGGGGCAGAGGGAGAGGGAGAAGCAGACTCCCCACTAAGCAGGGAGCCTGATGTGGGGCTCCATCCCAGGATCCTAGGATCATGACTTCAGCCGAAGGCAGACGCTGAACTGACTGAGACACCCAGGCTCCCCTAAACAACACTCCTCTTGATAACTAATAGGTCAAAGAAGAAATCACATAGGGAATCGGGGAATTAGAAAGCATTTTAAACTATATGAAAATGAAAACATGATGTATCCAAAATTTTGGAATTCAACTAAAGCAGAACTTAGAGGCAAATCTATAATTTTAAATGTTTGTTTTAGGAAACAAAAAAGACTTACAATAAATTATCTAAGTTTCTACCTTGAGAAGCTAGAAAAAGAAGGGCAATTTAAACCCAAATTAAGTAGAAGGAAAAAATTATAAAGTAGATATCAATGGAATAGAACATGGACAAAACAAGAGAGAACATTAACAAAGCCAAAAGTTAGATGTTTGAAAAATTGATAAATTGGTAAACATTTAGCAAGACTGACAAAGAAAAAAAAAGAGGAAGAGAAAAAAAATTTAATTACTGATTTCAGATATGAAATAGGGGGTTTTCCTCCAGACCTTACATGTATTTAAAGAATAATATTGGAATGTTATGAGCAACTTTATGCCAATAAATCTGATGACTTATATGAAATAGCCAGATTTCTTGAAAGACAAAACTTACCAAAAAAAGACAAAAGAGAAAATAGAAGACATGGATGGCTTCATTTCTATGAAAGGACCTATTCACAAATTCACTGGTAAACTCTACCAAATGGTTATGGAAGAAATAATACCAATCTTACAGAGACGGGTATTTCAGGAAACAGAGGAGAAACTCCTCCCAAATCATTTCATAAAGCCAACATAACCTTGATAGAAAGACTTTACAAAAATATTGTAAGAAGAAAATTATAGGCTAATATTGCTCATGAACATAGAGGCAAATATCTTTATCAACATATTAGCAGATCAAATCCAACAAAACGTAAGGAGGTTAAAACCAAGTGGGATTTCTCCTGGCAATGGAAGGTTGATATAAAATTTGAAAAATTCAACAATGTAGTTCAGTATTATTAAGAGAATCAAGGAGAAACACCCTATAGTCACCTCAGTAAATGCATAAAGAGCATTTTATAGAATTCAGTACTTATCCATGACAAAATCTTAAGCAAACTAGGAACAGCAGGAACTTCATTAATATAATAAAGGCATCTGCTAAAAATTCTACATCTAACATGATACTTACTTAGAGGAACATTGAACACTTTGCCTTTAAGATCAGGAACAAAGGGAAGATGTTCATCCTCACCACTTCTATTAAATATTGTACAAGATGACCTAGACTATACAGCTAGGCAAGCAAACAAAACAAAACAAAACAAAACATAAAGATTGGAAAGGAAGAAGTAAAACTGATTCTTTATACAAATGAGATGATTATTAATGTAGAAAATCCCAAGAAATCTACCAAAAAAAAAAAACCCCAAAACTCAACTACTAAAATTAGTAAATGAAAGATCACTACACAAAATCAATTATATTTCTATACATTAGCAACAAACCATTGGAAAACAAAATAACACTCAGAGTTAACAAGTAAAATACTTAAAAATAAATTTAACAAAAGACATCCAAAGCCTATATTGTTGTCAATTCCCCCAAAACTGACCTATGGATTCACAAACCCAGCAGGTATTTTTTTCAACTGACAAGTCAATTCTAAAATTTACACAGAAATGGAAAGGACCTGGAATAGTAATAAACAATTTTGAAAAAGAAGATGGAAAATGTACATTATCTGACTTCAAGACTTACTCTAAAGCAACAGTAATCAAGAAAGTGTGATATTGACATAAAGGTTGATAGACAGATGGATCACTAGAACAGACTAGGGATCAGAGAAATAGCCTTACACTTACATAGTCAATTTATTTTCAACAAAGGCACCATACCTGATCAATGGTGAAATAAATATTGTGAGTTTTTTTCCTTTTAACAATTGGTGTTGGGGAAGATGGTGGAATAGGAGGACCTTAAGCTTGTCCTGTCCCATGCCCACACTAGATAATACTCACAGCAGTGTAAACAACCCCCGAAACAATCTGAAGACTGGTAGAACAACTGAAGGCTGAGAAGAGGCTACATCAAAGAAGGTAGGAAGGGTGAAGACACAGTCTGGGAGCAAAATGGACCATGGCCATCTGCGGTGGGGAGGAAGCTGGTGGCACAGAGAAGGGCAGAAAACAGACTATCACACCAGAGAGCTCATAAACAGGGAGGATGAATCCTCATAACATTTGCCTTTGAAAGCCAGAGGGGTCAGTTTCATGAGTTCATACAACCAGCAGGATTCAAAGCCTAGGATATTAAAAATCTGCAGGCTTAGCTCTGGGAGAACCTGGAGGGGGCTAGGAAATGGAATCCTTATCCTTAAAGAGATAGCAGGACGAACAGTCTATGCAGATACAGCATAGACCCAGCAGTCTGACAAATGTCAGGGGCAGACGAGAGGGAGAGTGATTTGCTCATCTCAGAGTGTGGCCCAGAGAGACAGGGATCACCACAGGGAGACCCCTCTAGGAACAAAGGAGCTGGCAGGCATTATTTCCCTCCCATGCAGCTCAGCATAAACATGGGCCACCTGCAGGAAGCAGCACCTCAACAAAACTCTCTACTTTGCACCAAGCCTCGCCCTCCACGCTTCAAGGATCCGCTCACTTCCAGCCATGCTCACTTCAGTCCTGGCACTGCGGGACCCTCCCACAGAAGACCTGTGCAAATCCTGCCAACACCACATCTCTTGGACTTGTGCATTTTGCAGGACCTCAGTTCCCGTGGCAGTGGGGGTATGCCTTGTTTTACAAGCAGACCAACCCACACCTTGTTAAAATGCCTCCCACCCCTGCTGGGGACCAAACACTGCCCACAAATAGGCAAAGAGAGCCTCTGCAAACAACTAGACTGAAGGAAAATTAGGCCAAGACTCAACAGCAGAGTGTAGGCAACACACATAGGAGATACTCCCTGAAGTGCCAGGCCCTGAGGAACAGGGAACACTGCACTGCAGGGCACTATAGGACCTCTTCTTCATAATGCTGTTATTGTTAAGAGCAAAAAAAGTAGCTGACTTTCCTAACACAAAGAAACACACACAAAAAGTCAGACAAAATGAGGAGACAGAGAAATATCTCCCAGATGAAAGAATAGGACCAAACTATAGCAAGAGACCAAAGTGAAATGGATATAAGTAATATGCCTGATAAAGATTTTAAAGTAATGATCATAAAGATACTCACTGGACTTGAGATAAGAGTGGGGAACATTAGTGAAACCCTTAACACAGAGATAAAAAAAAGAACAAATCAGAGATCAAGAACACAATAAATGAAATAAGAAATACACTAGATGGAATAAGTAGCAGGCTAGAAGTAGAGGAATGATTTAATGAACTGGAAGACAGAGTAATGGAAAGTAACCAAGCTGAGCAAAGGAGAGGAAAGAAAATCATGCAAACTAAGAATAGTCTTAGGGAACAACAACAAACAAAACCCAAACCCAGCAAAAGGAAGGAAATAATAAAGAATAGAACAAAAACAGATAATATAGAAACTAAAAAAAATAGGGCGCCTAGGTGGCTCAGTCGGTTAAGCATCTGCCTTTGGCTCAGGTCATGATCCCAGGGTCCTGGGATTGAGCCCCGCATTGGGCTCCCTGCTCAGCAGGGAGCCTGCTTCTCCCTCTACCCTTCCCCCTCTGCTTGTGCTCTCTCACTCTCTCTCTCAAATAAATAAGTAAAATCTTAAAAAAAAAAAAATCTCATTTACAATTGCACCAAAAACAACAAAATATCTAGGAATAAACTTAACCAAAGAGGTGAAAGACCTCAACAAAACAAAAAAACAAAAAACGCAGAGGTGGAAGACCAAAAACTATAAAACACTGATGAAAGAAATTCAAGACAATGAGAAGAAATGGAATGACATTCCATGTTCATGGGTTGGAAGAACAAATATTGTTAAAATGTCCATACTACCCAGAGCAATAGACACATTTAATGCATACCTATTAAAATATCAACATTTTTCACAGAATAGAATAAGCAATCCTAAAATTTGTATGGAACCATAAAAGACCCCCAATAGCCAAAGCAATCTTGAAAAAGAAAAGCAAAGCTGGAGGCATCACAATTCCAGACTTCACATTATATTACAAAGTGGTAATAATCAAAACAATATGGTCCTGGCATAAAAATAAACACATAGATCAATGGAGTAGAACAGAAAATCCAGAAATAAACCCACAATGATATGGTCAATTCATCTTTGATAGAGAAGGAATGAATATCCAAAGGGAAAAAAAGATAGTCTCTTCAATAAATGGTATTGGGAAAACTGGACAGCTAGATGCAAAAGAATGAAACTAGATGACTTTCTTTCATCATGCACAAAAATAAACTCAAAATGGATTAAAGACCTAAATGTGAGACCTAAAACCATAAAATCTTAGAAGAGCACAGGTAGTAATCTCTCTGAAATCGTCTGTAGCAACATTTTTCTAGATATGTATCCTGAGGCAAAGGAAATAAATGCAAAAATAAATTATTGAGACTACATCAAAATAAAGTTTCTGCACAGCAAAGGAAACAATCAACAAAACTAAAAGGCAACCTACTGAAAGGGAGAAGATAGTCACAAATGACATATCTGATAAAGGGTTAGTATTCAAAATATATAAAGAACTGATACAACTCAATACCTAAAAACCAAATAAACCAATTAAAAAATGGGCAGAAGATATACAAATGGCCAATAGACACAAGGAAAGATGCTCAACATCACTCATCATCAGGGAAATACAAATCAAAACCACAATGAGCTATCATCTCACACCTGTTAGAATGGCTAAAATCAAAAATACAAGAAAAAACAAGTGTTGATGAGAATGTGGAGAAAAAGGAACCCTCTTGCACTGTTGGTGGGAATGCAAACCGGTGTAGCCACTGTGGAAAACAGGATGGAGCTTCCTCAAAAAATTAAAAATAGAACTACCTTACCATCCAGTAATCACACTATTGGGTATTTACCCCCAAAATACAAAAACACTAATACAAAGGGATACATGCACCCCTATGTTTTTTTTTAAAGATTTATTTATTTATTTATTTGAGATAGAGAGAGAGCATGAGTGGGGGGCGGGGAGGGGCATGGGGAGAGGGAGAAGCAGACTCCCCGCTGAGCAGGGAGCCTAATGTGGGACACGATCCCAGGACCCTGGGATCATGATCTGAGTCGAAGGCAAATGCTTAACGGACTGAGCCACCCAGGTGCCCCACCCCTACGTTTATTGCAGCATTATTTACAATAGCCAAATTATGCAAGCAGCCCAAGTATCCATCGATAGATGAATGGATAAAGAAGATGTGAAGGATATATCTACAATGGAATATTATTCAGCTATAAAAAAAGAGTGAAATCTTGCCATTTGCAACAACATGGATGGAGCTAGAGAGCATAATGGTAAGTAAAATAAGTCTGTCAGAGAAACACAAATACCACATGATCTCACTCATATTTGGAATTTAAGAAACAAAACAAATGAGCTAAAAAAAAAAAAGAGAGAGAGAAACTGAGCTTCATTAAGTTATACGTTAAAATTGCCTCTGCCCCCAGCTCACATTCTGGTCCTCTATTCAGTAGCTGTGTGACCATGGTCAAGTTATTTCTATCTCAGCGCTCTGAATCTTGAACCTATAAAATGGGAATTATTAAAGAGTCTATCTTATTGGATTGTGAATAAATTTACAGGAGATAAACTGGAATGCTAACTTGTACATAGTATGCCCTCAATGAATATAATCTATTATTATTGTCTTGTAGATGTAGTTTCCCAAGGGAAACCACTTAGGAAATTCTGCTAAGGGCCATGTGGACCTATTGAAGTGTCCTGAGCAGAGAAGCAAAATGCACAGCTTTGTCTTTTAGAAATAATCACTGAGGCAGCAGTAGCGAGGATGAACTGGAGGGGGGAAAACAGATTTGGAGACTAGAGCTGGGATTGTCCTCATGTGAAAATCGATGAGACATTATTGATCTAAAGAATTGAAAATACATATAGAAGTAGATTCAAAATATACAGAATTTGAATATGTTTTAATAACAATGTAAATAAGAGTATACGTGAACATTAAAATTGTTTTTCATCTTTAAAAATATTAAATTCAAAATTACCTATTAAATGAAGCCAGATAAAGATGGTGATTAATGTCAAATCTTGAAATAAAAGTTTTAAAAACACAAATGGTTTAATACTGCAGAAGGTTCTTCTGCACCTGCCTTGCTTATGCTCAACTGTTAGTACTTCTCCAGAACCACAAATTGGAACAAGAAGAGAATATGGACTTCCATAGTACTGGGAAAGGCAACTTCATTCTGGTGAGCCTGTCTACTCTCCTAAGCTCCTGGGGTGATCACAGGGAAGGTGTGTATGGTTGGCTCTAACAGATGCCATCAAACAGTTCATCAATGCAGCTGTGTGGGACAGACAGTCCCAGAGCCTCACTTGCCATTTTCCATCATTTTAATTTTAGACATTCTGGTGGGTGTGCGCAATGCTATTTCTATAACCAACACTTTCTTTATTTTTCTATTCTCTCTCTGGAAAGGGAATCCAGCTTTGCCTGCCAACCCACCTTTGGGGCAGAAGGGAGGGAGGAAGCCATCTCTGGAGGGTAGCCAGCTGGGACCCAAGCACAAGAGGGCAGGTCTCCTGGGGCAAGGCCACGCAGGAGGAAATCGCGGGCACCTGGATTCTCAGCTCCACTTCCCTGCATTATCTTTTTTTCCTAGTCTTTCCTCCTCTCTCTGCCTCTTGCCTTTCCTCGTGTCCGCTGGCTCAAATCCTGCTCGCCCTACAAAGGTTGCTTAGAACTCACCTTTTCAAAAAAGACCCTCACCTCTCCTCCGCCTTTCCCCAGCTATTTTCTTGAAGTCGGTAAGGCATGGGTGTGTTAAGATGGGCAAATCATTAACCTCTTTTGTTTCTTCATACGAGGAGCATGAGAGCTTGAGCAACATTGAGGCTACGTCCCTGAGTTGATGTGATATGAGCCTTTAAGGCTCCGGAGCGCACGAACACAAACAGAAGTGTGTATTCCCGTGGGTGAGACCGAGTGTCAGTGCCCAAAGCCTACGCTTTGACGGTCCTTGTGCATCCCGGTCGGCAGGTCTCGGATGGGGCTGCGTCCGGGAATGTCCACCCTGGGGTGGCCAGGCTCATCTTTGTGCAAGCCTGTTGGCGGGGCGTTACCTGAGATCCCGCAGCCCTCCCAGGCGCCCAAGGTGGAGCGAGCCCTCCGGAGTCTCTGAGGGACTGCGGGTTCTGTGTCGAATCTGCCGGTCGCCGCGTCGCGGGGTGGGGAATGTGCGGCTGCGCGCGCGCCGCGGCGTTTACGCGGCGATTTCATCATGCTCCCGGCCGGGCCGCGCGCGCCGCTTCCGCCGCCGCCCGCTCCGGACCGCCCAGGCCCGCCCGCTCATGCACTCTCTGCGCTCGGCGCTGCTTAGAGCCGCCCGCGCCGCGCTGCTGCTGTCGCTGCCCTCCCGGCTCCCGGCCCGGCCTCCGCTCCCACCCTGTCGGCCGCTCAGCGCCCGCGCCCGGAGCTCATTCCCCGCCGCCGCCTCGCGGAGCAGCATGGACGGCGCCGGGGCTGAGGAGGTGCTAGCCCCTCTCAGGCTTGCCGTGCGCCAGCAGGTACTGGCATTCTGCGCCTCCCCTGGGCCCCGGGCTCTCCTCCCCTTGGTCCGCTCTCCGTCCTCCTCTCTTCTCCTCGGGCACGCGTCCACCGCGCCGGTTACCCCTCTCCTTCATCCGCTGGAAGCCCTTGGTTTCCTGGTATCTTCCTCGCCTCCCCCACTTTGGACTCCAGTCCCCGCGTGCGTCGGCCACCTTCCTTGCCGTGGACCCGCGTCCTAGCTTATCCTTGGGTGACTCCCTCGGATCCCCTCCGACATCCTGCGTCCCTCCCTTCGCGATCCGCTCTCCTTTCCCAGCCGTTGTTAATGTCTGCGCCTCTCCTCTCTCCGTTGGGGCTGGGATCTGTGACCCTTGGTTACTCCTCCTGGCCTAGCTCAGTATCCTCAACTTCATTCTTCCAGTCTCTGCGGTGTTCTTTGTGTCACCCGGCTGGCGAGGTTCCTAATTCTTCCCCGGTCAGGGGCGAAGCTGTCGGTTCTGTCTTCTTACGGCTGGACTATTTTAAAATCTTCAGAATGCTTTGCATAGTGTTTCCTCCTTGACACCTTCCTTCATTCAGTGCTTAGTTAGCCAGATGATCGGCTGAGAAAATGAAAAGTTGAAACGTGGATGTGAGAGGGTGTTTGAACTTCTTTTTCTAATCACGATGTGAGTTCATTGTCCTTCGCTCATCGTCCTTCGCTCACTCCTGTCATCTTCTTTGGGTTCCCAAAAGACTATTTGGAGTGACTGAGCTTTCAGATCGTAAACCTGGGAAACTGGAAATGTTCCTGAGTTACTGGGTGAAGTCAGCCATCCTCTGTAGGGAACATTTTGAAATTTGATTTTGGGGTAGGGAGGGAAGTTTCATGGGCTGGAGGGCTTGGTGATTTAATACAGGCCTCCTTTACCTAGGGCACGGCATGAATATTAGAATTTAGAGAGGACAAGGAAAATGATTAGCTCAAGTGGATTCTCACATCCAGTCAGGCAACGCCAAAAGCTTGGAATAGGACCCGGGTGTCTGTGACCTAGTAGTAAACACCAAATGGGCTTCTTCGGCACCGGTGCCTGATGCAATAACTTGCCTTAGCTACGGAGGGTGGAACCCTGCCTCAGAAATAATTCATTGGGGCAGAGTTGCCAAAAATTAAGCAAATGCTGCCACTTTGTAATGTCTACTTCTCTCCAGTTTGAGCCTGATTCAGTAGTGTTTCGTTTTGAAATTTCACTATAGGCTTAATTTTTTCTTACTTATTATTGGTATTATTCTGTCTCCCTCCACCCACCCTACCCAAAGAAAATTAGGTGTGGTTCTTTGTCCTTTCTGTAACTCTCAATTTTTTTCCCCATATCCTTTACTTGAGGAGGGAGAATACATCTAATTTGGAAAAACACGCACCCAAACCCCTCCCTCTGCCACGTTAGCCTGAAACTGCAGTGCAGATTATCCATGTGTAGTAAGACTGTGGAACTAGTTAACTGAAGTAAACTTTATTCCTGATGTGATTACTATTTAGTGTATTGTTTATGTTGGCTTGGGTTTTTTGTTTTGTTTTGTTTTTGGTACTTTTAAGATTTTTTTTCTGAAGATATAAGTTCTAGTTCTTTTTCTATTTCTCCAGGACCACATTTATCAGTTAGCTACCTGGAACCTTGAATCACACAGATTCCAGTGTCAGCTGGAAGGGAATTTAAAGATCATCTGGTTAAAGCTCTCTTTTTGCTTATGAGGAAATGAGACACATCGTCACATCTATCCATTTGACATATTTCCATTGTGAAGTTTGTGCAATTGAAGACATTCTTGGAGTGGGATTTTTAAGGCGCTTAACAACTGGTCTTGTTAGTGGCATGTGTTTTATATAAATATGCTAATCTGCTTGACTACGTGGATGCTGTTTCTTTTAAAGGTTTGGCTTGTTGATGGACTGAAATGAATTTTCTCCGTGGCATATTCTTAGTTATTTCCTGGAGAACTAGTTATGGAACTTGTAGGAGGGCTTCAGAGCATCTAGAAAACACATTAGTTGTTTGATCAAGGGCACACTGGGGCACTTGAGGTATGTATGTATGTATGTATGTATTTATTTATTTATTTTATTTATTTTTAAGTAATCTCCACCCCCAGCTTAGGGCTCAAACTCAGGACCCTCAATTGCACCCGAGGGCAATTGAGTTTTTTTTAAAAAGTTGGGAACTGGGGCATCTGGGTGGCTCAGTCGGTTAAGCATCCTACTCGGTTTCTGCTCAGGGTCATGATCTCAGGATCGTGGAATCAAGCCGTGTGTCAAGCTCCATGCTCACTGGGGAGTCTGCTTAAGATTCTCTTCCTGTCCCTCTGCCCCTCCCCTGCTTGTGCTTTCACTCTCGCTCTAAAATAAATAAATCTTTAAAAAAATATATAATAAAAAAATGTTATTTAAAAAAAAAAGTTGGGAATAAGCACAGTGTGGCCAGCCTTCATTTTGCCAAATAAGAGTAAATCAAAAACTAGTATAATCCTCACAATACCATCTGCTTTCCTCTTTTATTTTATAAAAGAAAGGATATTTTAATACAAAAAAAGCAGATTATAACTCGAAAGAAAGAGCAGTCCTTTTTTTTTTTTTAAAGATTTATTTATTTTAAAGATTTTATTTATCCATTTGACAGAGAGAGCCCAAGCAGGGGGAGCTGCAGGCAGAGAGGGAGAAGCAGGCTCCCTGCTGAGCAAAGATTCCCAGGACTCTGGGATCATGACCTGAGCCCAAGGCAGACACTTAACCGACTGAGCCACCAAGGTGCCCCAAGATTTTATTTTTAAGTAATCTCTACACCCAAGGTGGGGGCTTGCTTGAACGTACAACTCTTAGATTAAGAGTTGCATACTCTACCACCTGAGCCAGCCAGGTGCCCCAATTTTTTTTTAAAAGCTGTCTTTTATTATTTTATTTTTAATTTTTAAAAAAATTAATTTTTAGGGTGCCTGGGTGGCTCAGTTGGTTAAGCGACTGCCTTCGGCTCGGGTCATGATCCTGGAGTTCTGGGATCGAGTCCCACATCGGGCTCCCTGCTTAGCAGGGAGTCTGCTTCTCCCTCTGACCCTCCCCCCTCTTGTGCTCTCTCTCTCTCTCTCATTCTCTCTCTCAAATAAATAAATAAAATCTTTAAAAAAATAAAAAATAAAAATTGAATTTTTATTCAGCTTTTTTATATTTGATAGGTTTAATTTTGGAAAAAAGATCTAATACAGTGTCTTTTTTTTCCTTTTACCATGTGTTGGAAAAACCTCTGTCTTGGAGTATCTTGTTTGGGAACAGTTGCTGTAGGGCAGTGGTTCTCTGGTCTTCAAACCCTTGGAGGTCTTCAAAGTCAAAGCCATTTTCATAATGAAATTGAGATGTTATTTTCACTTTTTACTGTGTTATTTGCACAGAAGATATAAAAATCATGGTGGCTAAAACTGCCTGCCCTTAGAACTAAACACACGAGGACACCACATCATACTCTGTCATATCCTAACAGTTAAAAAAAAAAAAGTTTTGCTTTAGAGTGTCCTTGATGGAGCAGCAAAAATTATTAATTTTATTAAATCCAGACCTTTGTACACCTTTTTAGTGTTCTGTGTGACAAAATGGGAAATACATGTAAAGCATATGGAAATATGATGATTGTCTCAGGAAAAACATCTGTATGATTGTTTGAGTTGCAAGCTGAACTACCTGCTTATTTTCATGGAACGCTATTTGTAAAATTCAATTTTGGCTGCTGGGCATTCATTTTCTGAAATATGAGTGAAGAGCGCCTGTCATTTCAAGAAAACAACTGATAGTATTTATAGCCAATAATAAAATCAGGCTTTTGGTTAATTTTAGAGTTTTGGAAACATTATCTGCTGCATGAACTAGACAGCTTCACAGTATTTACAGACTTTTCTGATGGGATGAGTAGTGATATTAACAAATGTACTTTTTTTGATATAGTGTAATAAGTGGGTCAGTATCTAGAAGATTTACATAACTCAGTATTTTCCGTATGATAATGCCTGATGTTATGGAATCAAATATTGGTAAAAGATTTATTCAGAGTCTAAAATACATTAATAGATTTAATGTAACGGTATAAAAAGTTCATTGGTATAGTTTTCAATTCCACATTGCTATTAACTTTTATGAAATAACCTTTAGGAAACTACCACTTGGGGCGCCTGGGTGGCTCAGTTGGTTAAGCGATTGCCTTCGGCTCAGGTCATGATCCTGGAGTCCCTGGATCGAGTCCCGCATCGGGCTCCCTGCTCGGCGGGGAGTCTGCTTCTCCCTCTGACCCTCCCCCCTCTCATGTGCTCTCTCTCTCTCAAATAAATAAATAAAATCTTAAAAAAAAAAAAAAGAAACTACCACTTGTCAGAATTTGGGTATAGTCTAAAAGAAGAATATCCACAACTATTTGAAAACGCTTTTAAAATTCTTCCTTTTCTAACTTGTGGTATTCTTTGTATACTTCACCATTAAAATGCTATATTGCAAGAGAGGCAGATATGCAAATCTAGCTGTCTTCTATTAAGCTAGAAATTAAGGGATTTGCAAAATTATAAAACCTTTTCTCACTACTTTTTGTTTTGTTTTGGAAAATGCAATTATTTTCACAGAAATGTTATTTTTATGCACATTGGCACATATTGAGCTTTTACTGTTATTTAAATGAATTAATATTTTAAAATTTGCA